ACCCTCAGTGTGTCCACTTGCTTCAGGGAAGCCCAATAACTCTCTTCTGTCTTCCTTGTGATGGTCCTATCTGGAGGTTTTTTCTCTCTCTCTTCTCCCTCACAGAACATACTGAAATTCACAAAACTTACTTGAGCACTTCAGGCTACATGTGAGTGGGCAGCAAACAAAACTGTTGTATATACATACAGTGTAATTCAGTGATAAAAAGAAATGAGCTATCAAGGCACAAAAGACGTAGAGCGTTCTTACATGCAAATTGCTAAGTGAAAGAAGCCAGTCTGAAAAAGCAATGTATGATTCTAATTATGTGCCATTCGGGAAAAGACAAAACTATAGATACAGTAATATCACGGGTTGCCAGAGGGGTGGAGGAAGGTTGGAGAGATGACTATGCAAAGCACAGGAGATTTTTGTGGCTGGGAAACGATCTCTGTGGTACCGTTACGCATTTGTCAAAACCCACAGAACTGTACAACACAAAGGGTGAACTTTAATGTATACAAATTCAAATAGTTTAGGAGGGCAAGGGGATCCCAGAAAAGAATGCTGACTGTGACAAGAGAATCTAATTGTATTGTGAATGTATGAAACGACCTCCCTATAAAACAGAGGGCGTAGGGGAAAAGGTGCTGTCCTAAGTAAGTAACTTGGAAATGAATAGAATCTAAAGGCAAAATGAACTGCAAGTATGCACTTTAGTTGAGTAAGTTGTTCCCATGTGGATATAGGTTAACAATTCTGATACTGCTTTCCATGTATACAGGTATACCTCATTTTATTGCACTTTGCTTTATTGGGCTTCACAAATGTTGCATTTTTTACAAATTGAAGGCAAGAGCCTCCACCAGCAAAAAGGTAACAACTCACTTTGTTGTGCTACTCACTTTATTGCAGTGGTCTAGAGCTGAGCTTGCAATATCTCTGAGGTATGCCTGTATCAGGTAAATGGTTGGTGGATGGTAGGAGCCAGGCGTCTCACTGTTTGAATGGGAATTTACAGGTAAGCAAGGGAAAGAGGCTAGAATGATCCATGTCGTAGTGGATTAGAGCTGGAGACGTCAGTAAGAACTCATGTTTAATTTAACATAGATAGAGATGGTATTTACACAGGTTAGTACATACACATATATTTCTTTGTTTTGTCAGCTGAGAGGGCCTAAAAACAATGACACCCCAGTAGCAATGAGCATCCCTAATATCCAGATATTGATTCTAATAAAATTCTCTAGTAAAATGAATCAAAGCTCCTTGGAGAAGTGGCTGAGTCTAGCACTGGGGCAAGAAATATACATGCATATACAAGATGATGCACGGAGCATCTTGTAATGCCAGAGAGTGAGGAAGTGCTCCAAAAACCCACACAATAACAGGGGCATGTCAAAGAGGCACAGGAACCAACTGAAAGACCTTCCAATGGCCAGAGATGGAATAATTTGAGAAACAACAAATACATAAATGGCATTATAACCCACAGGATTAAAATATATGAGTACATACTTATATAAATAGATTATTAAATAAGTTAGGAAAGGGGGAAGAAGAGACAAAATCTCCAATGCTGAAGAATTCCAAATAAATCAGATACTCTACCCTAAGGGAGAGGGAACATAATGCCCCATTTCTTAAGTGTTGTCTGTTCATTGTGGCTTATTTCAAAGAATACAGTATGGACAGTGGGGAAAAAGAGTAAGTTTGTAATGAAGAATCCTGCCAAACACTACTTCAACCAAGTAATCAAAGTAAACTTAAACAGTCAGTCATAAATCATACTGATAGCAGATACACCTAATATAATGTGATAAAAACGACATTCTACTTCTGTGACCTTTCACTCTCAAACCTATAACCCCATGATAAAAACCCGTAATCATGAGAAAAACAGTTAAATCCAGCAGAGGGGCATGCTACAATATACCTGACTAATACTCCTCATGTTCATCAAAAACAAACAAAATCTGTCACGGCCAAGGGGAGCCTGAAGAGACATAACTAATGCAGTGTGTTATTCTGGATAGGATCCTAGAACAGAAAAATAACATTAGATAAATACTAAGGTAATCTAAATAAATGATGGCCTTTAGTTGATAACAATGTACCAATTCATTAGTTGCAACAAATGTACCATACTAATGTAGAATGCTAATGATAGGGGATTTTGGGTGGGGGGGTTTACTATGGGAACTCTATTACCTGCTGATGTTCTGTAAATCTGAAATTGTTTTAAAAAACAAAGTCTAGTAATAGCAAAGAATATATAGAAACTTCCAAACTCTTAAACACACACACGTTGAGTCCTTCCATAAGTCAGCCACTCCAATGTTTGCTTTTGAAATGTTTTCTTTTCAATGATCACAACAACCTGGTGAAGTGGGAAGCATTATTGTATCGATGGAGAAATTGAGGTTCAAAGAAATGAAGTGATTTTCCCCTAGGTCATGCACCTGGCAAGGCTTGGTTTCTAGAGGCTGGACTGAAATTTGGGAATCTGGGTCCAGGGATGACTTTAAACACTTTAACACAGTACGTGAACCCCTCAGCATGGTGCCCACACACAGTGAGGATCAGTGAGGCTCAGCTGATGCTGCTGTTATTGTTGGAATTTTTAATCATATTTTTCCATTCTCTGACACACCAAAGCACTTACTGTCATCACCTTATAGTCCCATGGGGTTGTCCTAATCTTGTGTCATTCTCCAGTGGCTTCTTCCATTGATTGCTTTTCTTTCTGGCACACTTGCATTACATCCAAAGGCTGCATCTGGGCCGCCCGAGTGGCGCGATGGTTAAGAACTGGCTTGGGACGCCAGAAGGCCCCGGTTCGGATCCCACATATGAGGGCCGGGGGCCGGTGACACTGCCCTCTACAGCTAAGATGCTGAACAACAGCTCAACCTGGAGCTGGGCTGCCGTGAGTCACCGGCGAAGGCGTAGGCTGCAGCCCCTGTGGCAGCGGGTTGCCATGGGCTACCGTATGTAGCCAGCAGCCAGCGTGAGCGGCCATCCAGAAGCCAGCAACTGATCTGCCTCGCCCGGGAAGAGCGCAATGATGGTGCCAACTTGGGCCAGTGAAGCAACGTCCTCCACAACTAGACTGAAGAACAAAACGACAGCAACTTGTCTGTTCCCCTTCCCCCAATTCCCCAATAAAAATCTTTAAAAAAAAACAAAGTCCGCATCTGCCTCCACATTGAGCATAGCCCTGAGCTCAGCTCACTAGATGTGATTTGGGCCTTGGAGTTCTCTGCACCTTTAGCAGTGACCAAGCAACAGTCACTAATCTAATCCAACAGCCCTGAGGCCAATGCGACTGTCTCAGTTTGACTTTACAGGTATTGATGACCTTCAAGTATTTGGCCATGACCTTCACTTGGGGAGAGTGGGGGCAACTGGGCTTGGCACCTCTGGGGACCCTGTATTGGGAGGTAATGCTGGAGACTTGTGGTTTCCTGGTATCACTAGGTAAGGCTTACTTCCCTCCCTTGTGGGGAACCCCCAATCTCTTCCTTCATTTTATCCTCTCTAGGACTGACTGGTAGACAACGCCTCTGGAGCCCACCCTCCCTCCTACCCATAACTCCTGTTGTGTTCCTGTCTCATCTCCTCTTTCCTGTTCTCACTGTGTCCAGGCAGGTACTGTGAGGGGCCAAAACAAAAAGGAAGTGAAATCAAGAACTAAGCCAAGAACTAAACTAAGCCTACACTCTCACTCCAATACCTGGCATAGGCTGGCCTCGGTCTGAAGTCCTTATTCCAGATACTCACCAGATAGAAACTGAGTGGTCAAATTTTGTTGGGTTAGGTGTCCCCATAACCCAGTGAACAGGGGCTGGAGGTGAGGAGCCAGTCTCCAAAAAGTGCATGAGTCAGGCAGAACACCCAGCCTTCTGTTGGAAGGCTCCTTTTGCCCCTGATGCCCACATGACCATCCCTCGCTTCCTAAAGCCTGGTCCACAATTCACTGCTGGTAAAGATGATTTTAGAGGGTGTGCAGACATATCAGCTGACATTGATGGACACCCTGAGAAAGCTGTTCAGTTTTCCTTTCGCTTTCCTGCCTTCTGATTGTTGTCAGGCAGTCTTGCTTTAGTGATAAATCTTCAAGACTTCCCCTAACTTTGGCTAATTTTCCTTTTCTATTTTTTTACTTTTTAGAAATTTTATTGGGGAACAGTGTGTTTTTCCAGGACCCATCAGCTCCAAGTCAAGTAGTTGTCTTCAATTTAGTTGTGGAGAGCACAGCTCTAAGGCCCATGTGGGAATAGAACCGGCGACCTTGGTGTTATGAGCCTGCGCTCTAACCACCTGAGCTAACTGGCTGCCCCTAATTTTCCTTTTCAACAGAAGGAGCTGCTCCTGACTCATAGTATAGGGCAGGCCACATAAGTTTACTGAAACTTATAGCATTATTTTGATTTCATTGTTGTCATATTTTGATGGTAGCCTATTTGTGAAAAGTGAAACTTGTATTTGTAACAAATTCCCAGGTAATGCTGTGGGGCTGTGGGTTGAAAACTACTGATTCAGGGAACATTTACTCTATTCATTTTTCATTGTAAATCCTAGCTCAGAGAGGTGAAGTGCTCGCGCAGGGGTACACAGGGAAGTTCAAGGAATGGATCTTCTGATGTACTTCTTAGCATTGTCATTGGTGATATTTGTCAAAACATAAGACGATACATGGATCACATGTTAGAGGTCTTTACGTACGGTCAGGATATTGCCCGAAGTGCTCCGGATATCCGTATGGGTCTCCTTTAAGATGAAGCGATGCCACGCCCTCTCTTTGGAACCCAAAGACCCGGTTTCACAGGAAACAAGTCTTGCGCTCTGTGGTGCACCAGGACTGTTGGAAACTACATTACCCAAAGGCAGAGCACGTCGGAGGCGGGCACAGGGACAATGACGGAAAGCAGAAAGGGGCGTTTTCTGAGAAAGCATGGGCGGGACTTCCGGCGTCTTGTCTTAGGACGTCATTTGGTTGTGGTGGGTGTGTCCTAACCTGCCCTGGTGGTTGGAGCGCCGGCGGAGGGCGCTTCCCAGAACGTTCTTCGAGACCCAGCAAAGGATAGTGAGGAGAATAGTACCTCCGCGCTTTTGTACGCGCCGTCACCCCGCCTTATAACAGGGTTGTCCGCCGAGCGCTCTCTGGGGCTTCGGCACCAGCCGTTCATCTCCGCCGCTCCTGGAGGCGGCGCCCTAGGCCTGGTGCGCGTTCTACACGGCGGACCCTGAGGTGCCAGGTCACCCCGCCCAGGGCTGGCGTGAGGGGTCGGCCGAACAGGCTGGACCGGCTTTTGTCGCCCCTCTCGCGGTCTCGCTCCCTATGGCGGCGCCGGTGAGTGGAAGGTTCCGCACTGGAGTCGCCGTTCTTACGGTGCCACCCTTTGTGATATAGGGGGATCCCGGAACTCTTCGCCTTTCCATCTTAATGCTCTTGGAACTAAAGGTCCCGCGGGGAATGGCAGATCTAATCACTTCCAACCCAGGGTTCTGAATCCAGGCCAGGGGTTAGAAAGAGAGGGCCCCACTTCTGGTTGTAACCTTCAGCGTGTCGCTTTGCCGCCCCCACCCTCCATTCCCCCGGGTCTAAAACTGGAATATGTTTCTCTCTCAGTTGAGGGACGTGGCTAGGGGATACGTGGGACCTGCCTCCTTCAGGGCGCAGTACGGCCCGGAGAACATCTGTGGATGTGGTTTCTGGAGAGTGACTCCCCTGGTCCTGCTGTTATCTCAGGCTCACGCCACTGAGAGTGTGACCCCCAGGCCTCCCTGACTCAGGCCTTGACCCAGCTCAAAGCTGGGATTGAGCCCGGAGAGGAGAGGTCACGTGGAAGCAGCGTTTTCGGAATTGCTGCTCCTTGGATAGGACGAGAAGGTCCCAGGACAGGCTTGAAGATGACCATCACTGTATTTATCTTTGCAGATGCCATCAGGGTGGTACTACAAGTGAAGGTGGCTTGCCACTTGGAGTGAACCCATTTTCCTGTTTAACACATTTATTTCTGTTTGAATAGTGAATCCACTACAATATTCATTAGTGACAGTGCATATGAATGAGTCTCTTGGGATGTAAACGCACAACTGGTCCAAAGTTACTCTCCGAATGCCACCTGTTTGCTCTCATCATATAGGTCTGATCACCTTCAGGACTTATTTTTTCCTCTCCTGACTTGCTCCCTAACTTCATTCCAGCCTCTTTCCGGTGTCCCCTCAGAGAGGCCTTTCCCCGGTTGTCCCATCTAAAGTATCCCCCTAATCTCTGTAGTCATCTCACTCTCTCTTGTTGTTTTCAGAGACTTTAGTGTCATATGACTTTATCTTGCACATTTGTTTAGTTTCTTGTCAGTCTTTCCCCAATGAGCAGCTCTTCTCTATCCCCAGGCCTAGAACAGTGCTGGGCCTGTACCAGGTCCTCATTAAGTGGTTGACTAATGAAAGACTCTACCTTCCGGGGTTCCAGTCACACTTAGATTAAATCTAATCTCCCCACCATGGCTGGACCTGCGTTAAATCTAAACCCCCTTCCAGAAGTACCTGGGTTCAAATTTTGCTCCTTCCCATTAGACAAACTACTCTAAGCAACTTTAGTGAGCTTCCGTTTGCTGATTGTGAAATGGAGACTGTGATGGTATTTACCTCATGGGCTACAGGAAGATCAATGAAATTCGCAAATACATCTAGCACTGGTGTGCTGGGCACTGCAGTGTTCACTTTATGAACATTTTCTCTCTAATTCCCACAACCACCTGGTGAAATGGGAACTATTGTATTGATGTCGAAGTTGAGGCTCAAAGAAATCAACATATGTTGGTTCAAACAGCTGGATTTAAACCCTGGGAGTCTAGCTCCAGAACTAGACACTTTAGTTGCTTTAACACAGCATCTAAAGCTCCCAGGTATAGGCAAACAGTGTGGACCAGTGAGGTTCAGCTCTTGCCGCTGTTATCATTTTTGGAATTATTATTTTTATCCCACTCTTATAACATCCCAGAGCACTTACTGTCTGCTCCTCACAGTCCGCATGAGAGTATTAGTGTCACTGTCCAATGGCTTCCCATATAGGAAGCTTTTCTCTCCCACACCTTTGTATTCTGTCAAAGGCACCATTTACCCCCTCCTGAGCCCAGTACGGAGCTAGAGTCTCAGGAGATACTCAGTGATTAAGGCCTTGGGTCTCTGGACTTTTGTCACTAACCAAGCAGTAAGCTGTAATCTCAATAGGCATACGGCCACCCTGCCACCTCTGTTTGACTTTCTAGGCATTGGTATCATTTGAAGATGTGGCTGTGACCTTCACTAGGGAAGAATGGAGACATCTGGACCTAGACCAGAAGACCTTATACCAGGAGGTGATGCTGGAGATTTGTGGACTCCTGGTCTCACTGGGTAAGGCCTCATCTTTCTCCCATGTGGTACCCACATTCTCTTTCATTCCATCCCCTCTCTCTAAAAATGGGTGGTTGAGAAGACCTCAGGAACTCACCTTCCCTTCTCCCCACACCCTCCTCTTGCTTGTCTTCCCTGTGCCTGCATCAGGGATTATTGTATAAGAAACTGTTCTTCTCAACACTTTTACCCAAGTGTACAGCACAAGCTGGCCCCAGTCTGACATCTTTACTCCAGATTCCATAAAAGGGAAACTGTTTGATTGAGCTTAGTTGGGTCAAATGTCTCCACAGCCCAGTTAGCAGGACCTGTGGATAATGGGAAGTTCTCCGAGAGGGGGTGAATCAGACAGACAAGAAGGTATTTGTCATCAGTGCTACTGGTATCTAAGCAACACAATCTCAGCTAAAATTCTTCTTTGGCCTCTGGTAACTGCACAGTTGTCCCTTATTTCCTAAGGCTTATGCCTCTCTTCTCTGCTGCTATAGGAATTAATTTTAGAGGATGCACAGACACATTTTTCTTCTTTTTTTTTTAAATTAGGGAATTGCGGAATGGGAACCAGCCAAGTTGTTGTTCTTCAATCTTAGTTGTGGAGGGCTCCACTCTCCATCTGGCTGCCCTTCGGCACCTTGTGGCCTCTAAGCTCAAGGTGCTGTGTTACAATCTTAGTTGCGTGTGGGCGTAGCCACCATCCCAGGCGGGAGTCGAACCAGCAGCCTTGTTGTTAAGAGCTCACGCTCTATCCACTGAGCCATCTGGGCAGCAGCTCAGCTCAAGGTGCTGATTTCAGTCTTAGTTGCAGGCAGGCATAGCCCACCATCGAACAGGCAGTCTCGTTAGGAGCACGTGCTCTCACCAGCTGAGCCATCCTGCCACCTGTGGGCAGCTCAGCGGCAGCTCAGCTCAGGCACAGCATCACTGGCCCATGTGGGAATCGAACCGGTGGCCCTGTTGCTCAGAGCTTGTGCTCTTAAGCTAATTCTTAACCAACTGAGTCACTCGGCCGGCCCCACAGACACATTTTCAAATGGTAGTGATGAGCATCTGCAAAAGCTGTTTTCTTTTTTCCTTTTGTTTCCTGCCTTTCTTGGTGGTGAGAGAGCCTGGGCTTAGTGCTGCATGTTTAACACTCCCATGGCTGTTGGCTCATCTCCCTTTCAGCAGAAAGAACAGCTGCAGGACTCGCAGACTAGAGCAAGCAGCATGAGCTTGCTGGGACTACAATTTTGATCTTATCATATTTTTATAGTATCATTTCACTTAGCCCAAGTGAACTAATACCTTTAAAGTACTTAGAAATAGAACGGGGAACATAGCAAGTGCTATGTACATATTATATATAATAAATTAATAAATCCCAAATGTTCTTCCACCTAAATCTAAATGTCTAGTTTACCCAGAAATCTGTTTGAATACAAACTGATGCAGACCCAAGGTCTCCCTTTTCCCAAATGTCCAACTGGTTACCTCTAACAGTTCTTTCCCAGCATTGTGTCTACATAGTCTCTCCCAGGAGGTCAGTCATCAATGCAATAAGTACAGTGTTATTTTATAACCATTGTGGTTAGTGGTTTAAAGGAGAAATATGGGGAATAGTATTCTAGGTGGAGAGACCAACATGTGCCAAGTCCCTGAGGGGGCGGTGAGCTCAGTTCCTTAGAGATAAAGGAAGATCTGATTCACCATTTCCACTGCCTCATCGCTGAGCTCAGTGCCAGGCATATAGCAGACGCCAGTGAGCATTTGCTAAGTCACAACTGGATGCATTCTGGCTTGCAGTACAGGATTTTCTACTCAAAGTATCTGTGGTGCCTAAGTCACTGACTTCTTTCCAGAGTCCTCCTGGTTTTAAGTTTTCACATTTGGCAAAACATGTTTGGCTGCATGTACCAGAAAACCATCTCATATTGGTGTCACCCTGAAAAAAGTTTATCACTTCACTTAACGAGAAGCCCTGAGGTGGGGCTGGCTCCTGGGTTGGTAGATGCCAACCTGGTTCACTGTCAGCTTTTTCTCCTTAGTCCAGGCCATCAGGCTAGAATCCTTGAAGTAGGCACAGGATGATGCCCCAGCACGCAAGGCAGCAGGTCCCCACATTTCGCCCTATCTTCCCAGCCTGGATGAAAGCCTCTTTCTTCACAATGGGTAGCAGTTTTAGGTCACAGCCTACCTCAGACAACTGACTATCAGTAGATGCCATTCACCAAGTGACTTAGTCCGGTGTTTTTAGCTATCCTTGGGCACCAGAATCACTGGGCAGCTTTGAAAACTACCAAGGCTCAGTCCTTATGCCCAGAGATTTGGTTTAATTTGTTCTGTGTTTGAAACCCAGACATTTCTAGGTAGTTCTGATGCATGGGGAGGTACTGACTTAATGAGAGAAAACCATCTGGATGGAGGAGTCCCCTTTCTGGGATTTCATGTGGTGTGTTAGAAGTGTATAGTTCTGTATAGTTGAGATTTTTTTCTTTTGTCTTTCCCTATATCCCCCTGCCCCATTTATTTTTACATGCACAGGGCAGCCTGTTCCCAAACCAGAGCTAATCTACCTCCTGGAGTATGGACAAGAACTGTGGATAGTGAAGAGAGGCCTCTCCAAAAGCACCTGCACAGGTAAGTGGCTGAGTCTGGCAGGTGGGTGTCATGGCAGTCAGCTGGGGACCACTGTGTCTGAACTCTTTGGGCAACAGTTTCATTTTGTGGTCTTCCTGGGTGGTCATGGAGCAGCTTGAACTGTGTTTCCCTGTCTTCCCACCCCCATCACTCTCTTTGCCTTTACTGGGGTTAAAATGTGGTATATTAGGTAAGTGACAGGCTCTAACTGTTCAGCCACTCACCAGCCTCATGATCCTGGGGCAGTTGTGTGATCTCACTGTGGCCTTTGCTACACAGGTTAGCCTGAGTTATTGCTACCTGCTTTAAAAGATAAACTGCAAAATCTTGGTGGGTCATCAGATTAAATAAGAGGGTTTTTTTTCTCATCATGCCATGTTTAATGTGAGTTAGCAGGGGAACTCCGTACCACATAATTATGCAGGGATCCAGGTGCATTCTGTTGTCAGTATATGGCTTTAAGGTTGCCCTGGCATTATCCAACTGGCCAAGAAGAATAGGAGAGAAGGAGAGTAGTCATATCCACTTACACACACACATCACTTCCATTCACATTCCATTGTCAAGAACTGTCCATTAGGCTACACATCGTATCACACTGGAAAATGTGGTTTAGCTTTGTACCCAAGGAGAATCCATGGGTATGAAGAACACATACTCAGCCTGCTAAACTTGGCCTACATTTGAAAAACATTGTAATGATAGTTTTTGGATCATTGGGTTGTTCAGGAATGTAATTAGGTAATGCAGAAAACTTTGTATTAGCTTACTGCCTGACCCAAAGTAAGTGGCTCAACAAAAGTTACCTATTAGCAATATTCCTGTATTATTAGTCATAACGAATAATGACATCTCAAACTTCTTTCTGGATTCAGAAGACAGTCCTTTCTTCTTCTGCAGATTACTACCTCCAGTTATCCTTCGCATCCCATTCTTTTCTACCTCTCCATCCAATCATTTATTTATATATACATCCATCCGTGCATGCATCCATCCTTCCATTTGTGAATCAAATATTCAGAAGGAGTCCCTAGTCTTGTTATCTTTTCACCTTTTTGTCTTATAAAACATCAAGGGGACATCTGCTCTTGTCAGCCCCACACCTGGGCTGCTGAAGGCAGCTGGAGCCATCGTGTGTGTGGATCGGCACCAAGGCAGACTCATGATCTCGCCCCTCTATTATTCCTCAGGAACTCAGTCAGCCAGTGAGTGTTTCTGGCCAACGCCTTCTCAGCCCCTCAGAGTGTGTCTCAAACATTCACCCTTCTCCACAGTTCCACATCTTCACTCGAAGGTTTCAAGGGCATCTCACACCCATCATACCTAAAAATGACCCCATTTTGAATTAATGGCTTTGCGATTCAATAAGTTGAGAAGGCCAATAACAAAGTTGGACAACCTCTCAACACCTCCATCTTCATCATACCCAATATCCAGCTATCTCCAAAACTTGACCATATTTCATCAGACATATTTTTCATATTTATGCCTATGTCACATTGTCTTTTTTTTTTTTTAAATTTTATTGGGGAGGGCCGGCCGAGTGGCGCGATGGTTGAGAACTCGCTTGGGATGCCAGAGGGCCCCGGTTCGGATCCCACATGTGAGGGCCAGTGACACTGCCCTCCACAGCTAAGATGCTGAACAACAGCTCAACCTGGAGCTGGGCTGCCATGAGTCGCCGGCGACGGCGTGGGCTGCAGCCTCTGTGGCAGTGGGTTGCCATGGGCTACCGTGTGTGGCCAGCAGCCAGCGTGAGCGGCCAGCAGCCGCAGTGAGCGGCCGTCCAGAGGCCGGCGACTGATCTGCCTCGCCAGGGAAGAGCGCAATGATGGTGCCAACTTGGGCCAGTGAAGCAACGTCCTCCACAACTAGATTGAAGAACAAAACGACAGCAACTTGTCTGTTCCCCTTTCCCCAATTCCCCAGAACTGTTCCCATCCCCCAATTCCCCAATAAAAATCTTAAAAAAAAAAAAATTGTATTGGGGAATTGGGGGAGGGGAACAGCATTGGTTGATCGGGGAAGGGGAACAGACAAGTTGCTGTCCTTTTGTTCTTCAGTCTAGTTGTGGAGGACATCGCTTCACTTGCCCATGTTGGTATTATCATTGCGCTCTTTCCGGGTGAGGCAGTTGCTCTCCGGCCATTGTACGGCCGCTCACAGCCGCTCACACTGGTTGCCAGCCACTCACAGTAGCTTACAGCAGCCCACTGCAGCAGGGGCTGCAGCCTATGCTGCAGACGAGTCATGGCAGCCCAGCTCCAGGTCGAGCTGTTGTTCACCATCTTAGCTGTAGAAGGCGCAGCATCACTAGCCCTCATGTGGGATCCGAACCGGGGCCCTGCTGCTCAGAGCTGGCATTCCAAGCCAACTCTTAACCAACACGCCACTCGGCCAGCCCATATGTCACATTGTCTTGATGTATATAAATTCATCATACTCCTACCTTCAAAGGGGAAGTCCTCCTGGCTTTATTCTTCTTCAGAGATATCCTAGTCCCTTTGTTCTTTTATGTAAATTCCACAATCAGTATCCATGAAAAAGCCCTATTGGAATTCTAACTGAAGTTGTATTGAATTTGCAGAAGAATATGAGGAAAATCAATGACTTTATATTATTAATCTCTTTTTATGTAGATCTTAATTAATGTGTTAAGTTTTATAATTTTCTTCATCTAGATGTTATCAATTTTATGTCTGTTCACCTAGTCTTTACTCAGACATAGTAGACTCAGTATGTCCACCCCATGGCTTCTCACACTCCCCCTCTTTCGCACAGGCCAGAATCCTGAGAATTTGTTTCTCTTCTGTCCCTGCCTGCCTTTCCATCCACATCTCCACCATCTTCATCCTCTCATCTGCTTTACTTTGCCTGGCATTCAGCATTCTGTCAAGACTCTGAACCTTTGTATTTTCTGTCTGCTGCAGTTTTCCTCCTAATTCCTCTGACTGGGAATTTCTATTCTCCTGTAGAAATAAGCCCACATAGCCCCTTTTCCAAGTAGCCTCTGCTGACCTCTTTCTGTCTTCCACCTGGGCCAAATTAGGTGCACCTTCTCTGTGCTGTCATAGCACCATGAGATATCCTCTCTTAGAGCACAGTCATTACACAAAATGTAATTATTACTCTACCCACCTTCCCCCATTCTGGAGATTGAGGAGTCGTCTCCAGATTCTTTTGCCTTGCCCCAGATTTTCCTTCTGGGTTTCCTTTCAGAGATGTCAAGAGTTCAAGGATTTGTAAAGAAAGAAATTGTAAATCTGGGTTTAAGAGATATGAAAATGCAGTAAGCATTAGAAGCATTATTTTTATCTTCATTCTCCCCCTAACAAGGTAATTTTGTGTATTCTTTGTTGACGTCATTCATATATACCGTTTTTTGTATTGAATTTCCTTCAGGTAAAGAAGTAAAACTTGAAACCACAGAGCCTACTGCTTCTCAGCTGGCCATCACTGAGGAAGCCTCTTGTAAGGAAAGAGTGACACAGGGAACCTCAAGGAACTCCAAGTTGGAGCAAGCGAGGGATCGGGAAAAGCAATCAGAAATGAGGGAAGAGAGTTTCAGGCCAGGAACAAACCCCCACAAGGAGACATGCCATAGGAGGCTGAGCCACAAGCATGATGATTTGGAGATAGAAGATAGTCTGTGTTTAAGGGGCTTACAGGAGCGAGTCACTACACGAGATGTGCTGCGTGCACATGATTCCCAAGGACCAGGAAAAGACTCTGTGATGGATGGAAAAAATAACCTCTACAAATGCAAGGAATGTGGAAAGGGGTTTAGCAAGAATTGGATTCTTGTGCAGCATCAACAGATTCATGCTGGAGTGAAGCCCTATGAATGCAGTGAATGTGGGAAAGCTTGTCGCTATAGGGCAGACTTCATTCGACATATGAGGTTTCACACTGGGGAACAACCATACAAGTGTATCGACTGTGGGAAGGCCTTCAAACGCAGGTCTCACCTCACGGAGCACCAGCGTATTCACACTGGAGATAAGCCTTATGAGTGCAAAGAATGTGGTAAAGCTTTCACCCACCGCTCCACTTTCATCCAGCACAATGTGACCCACACAGGAGAAAAACCCTTTCAGTGCAAAGAATGTGGAAAAGCTTTTTGCCTCAACTCATCCTTCACTCAACACATGAGGATTCACACTGGAGAGAAACCGTATGTGTGCAGTGAATGTGGAAAGGCCTTTACTTATCGCTCCACTTTTATCCGGCATAAGAGGACCCACACTGGAGAGAAGCCCTTTGAGTGCCAAGAATGTGGCAAAGCCTTTTGTGACAGCTCTTCCTTAATTCAACACACGAGGATTCACGCGTGTGAGAGGCCCTATGAGTGCAGGGAATGTGGGAAGACCTTTACGCACCACTCTGTTTTTGTCCGACATAATAGGACCCACAGTGGAGAAAAACCCTTGGAGTGTCAAGTATGCACCAAAGTCTTTTACTATAGCTCTTCCTTCACTCGACACATGAGGGTTCACACTGGGGAGAAGCCCTACATATGCAGAGAATGTGGAAAGGCCTTTTCCCAGCCTGCAAATTTTGTTCGGCATAACAGGATCCACACTGGAGAAAAACCCTACGAGTGCAAAGAATGCAAAAAGGCCTTTTGTGACAACTTTGCCTTAACTCAACACATGAGAACTCACACTGGAGAGAAACCCTTTGAATGTAGAGAGTGTGGGAAGGTCTTCAGCCACAGCTCATCGTTTACTCACCATCGAAAGATACATACCAGAGTTTAAAAGATGTAGGAAGGTTTTTTGCAAGTGTTTTCACCTCGGTCAATTTTAACGAACTCATACTGGTGACATACCTTTCCTTTTAAATATAACCAATTAAATATAAACATGAACTAAAATTTTACTTTTGATGGAACTGCAGGATGTGTGATGGGCCAGTGCACTGTGTGGAGAAACCTCTTGGAGCACCTGGCTCAGGTGAACAGAGAGACGGCACCGCTGGGCCCCACAGGACACGACTATATAAGGCCACTCTGCCAAGACTGGGAGATGTAGCACATCTACCTAATCCACAGAAACACACAAGGAGGCGGCCAACATGGGGAAAGAAACATGCAGTGTTTAGAAGGTTGCAAAATTCTAACCAAAATGTAAAACACTCAACTCTAACGTTTCTAGAAAATAGGAGAAAATCTTTTGTGTTCCTGCTGAAACCTTCCCATGGTTTCACAGAATAATAATTGAATCCAAATTTCCATGGTGCCCTATCTGCATCTGGCCCTGCTACCCCACTCCATCAGTTATCAATTGCTGTTATCTCTGGCCACACTAGCCTTGACCTGGTTCCAGCCAACCTCAGGGGCTTAGATATAGTTCTCTTTTCCTGGACTGCTGTGCCCCACCTTGGAACCTCACTAGGGCTCCTGCGTGTTTCCTGGGTCTGCATATCACCTAGCTTATGTTCCTCAAGGGTAGACATGACAGTGTTTTGGAATAAAGAGTACTTTTAATAATTGTTGGTAGAGCTACCCTCAGTGGTCCAACTTTGGATGTTATAAAAAACACATGAAGGGGATGAGGCCTTTTTATCCCTCATACCCCAATTCCCACACCTCAAAATGACCAGTTATTATAAGCGTGTCAGGGAAATTGGAAAGAAGCCATACACACATTTCCATTTCCTTTCTCTTCTACCTCTCAAAATACCCTTCAGATGGATTTCTCGTATAAACATGGGAAGTTATTGTATACATTTTTCCTAAATTCATAATAACCACTGGGTCTCTCTCATGGAAAATTCTCAGGTGTAGTGTAAGGCTCTCAGCTGGGTCAATTTCTAATATGACCATTTAGATAAATGGTTACCTGCCACAGAAACCTTTCACAGGGATGACAATTATGTTTCTCTTCAGTATGAAGAGATATCAGATACTGAGAAAGATATTTCTCTGGCCAAAAGATTATCCTGAATAGTTAACCTTTAATTTTTTTTCTAGGAATTACTTCATATGACTGTACTGAACAGCATACTGTGTATGTTCACAGTACTGTGCATTGTGTACTGGCTTATTGTCTGAGTACTGTACATATGTCCTGTTTGTGCATGTGTATGACTGAGAGTTAAAGCAGTACAATAATGAGTACATTACACAAAAAGGACATAGTTGAAATATTTTTGTTACAATGAAATATTGCATATAATTTATTTATAAGAAACATATTAGCACCATGCTCTAACCAGTTGAGCTAACCGGCCACTTGCTAATCAGAAACATATTAAATGAGGTGCCTTTAAACAAAAAACATTCCATAAAAGGTCATGTACTGATTGGTTGTGGTGACCAGAGGCTCACAGGAATTTGAATCTGCATTTCCCCTACGTAGCAGTGACTCAGTGTTCACTATATCTGCTTTGGATTATTTTTTAATTCCTTTTTATCTCCTTTTATTGGTTTATTAGCTTTTTTTTTTTTAAGATTTTTTTTATTGGGGAATTGGGGGAGGGGAACAGACAAGTTGCTGTCGTTTTGTTCTTCCGTCTAGTTGTGGAGGACGTCACTTTACTGGCCCATGTTGGTATTATCATTGTGCTCTTCCCGGGTGAGGCAGTCGCTCACCGGCCATTTGGACAGCCACTCACAGAAGCTCATGGCTGCTCACGCTGGCTGCCGGCCACTCACAGTAGATTATGGTAGCCCACTACAGACCCACTGCAGCCTACGCCGTCGCCTCATGGCTGCCCAGCTCCAGGTCGAGCGGATGTTCACCATCTTAGCTGTAGAGGGCACAGCGTCACTGGCCCCCATGTGGAATCCGAACCAGCAGCCCTACTGCTCAGAGTTGGCGCTCCCAAGCCAACTCTTAAGCAACGAGCCACTCAGCCGGCCCTAAAATTTATTTACAATTATCAAATGCCATAGAGAACATAATCTGAAATATAAGCTTTTTATCTACAACAGTGTCCACACAATCCTAATCATTGATCTGTGTTAACTTTCTAGTCACAAAATAGGAAACCATGGGGGGCAGTAAGACTATTCCATTTCTCATCTAAAACTTTGAAGCCATCCCCCTTAACAAACCATAATTTTCTGCCAGCTTCGGTGGAGATAACAAAAACTCTTACATATCCTTCAAGAGATATACTGCAGAAAATTAATGCTTTCAAAATTGGTGGGTGGACTGGAGCAATAATGGGGATGGCTCCAGACTATTAATTTCAAGGTAAGCCCCTGTAATTATGATCCAGATGGAAAGATGACTGCTGTTACTAGCGATGCTGCCAATAGTAATATCTCAAAGCCACAAAACCTGAAACTAGACACCGGATCCTGGGAGTCCAGCTGCAGCAAACACGACAGGACTTGCTTATCTGCTCTGTCTAGATTGACCCCAAGTGCATGTGTGCACACAAAGCTACATAATTAGTACTCATCCCTTAGGATTCTGATTAAAAAGCACATCCACAGTTAAGCCTGCTCTGATTTATCATAGTATGTTGTTTCTTGGTTATGTTCTCACAGTACTTGTAAACATTAAAATGTGTGAATTAATCCAACTGGAGATGGACTGTGAATTATCCTTACTAAAATAATGACATTTTTAGCACAGAGATCAGGCCATTTTTCTCTAGGTTTGTTAGTCTCACACTAAAAGCTATATTAAGGCTGAATTCTTCCAGAGGAAAGTAATAGAAAGTTTTGCAAGAAATATCAGTTCCACAGTGAAAGAGTTCATTATATAAAAATGATTTTATTAGAAACCAAGAATTTTATTCACACCACTTTTTACTTCTTTTGCAGCTTTAATATTCAACTTTATAACATTTACTGGATCCACTGGATGACTAAATATCTTCACATGCCCATTAACTGGAGGTAATTTCTATGTACAACTCGAGTAAAATTGCAAGCTGCTGCTATAAGAAATGCATATTCATTTATAATAACGCTTGCTGTCCTGTAAAACCATTTACAAATAGCATCACTGCAAAGATTTAAACACAATTCCTACATCCTTCAGGTTGTCCTAGCGTTAATTTTCTGAGGTCTAGGAAAATAAGAGCTCTTAGTGAAAACTTTAATACATTTCTTACATAAACTTTCTCTCCAGTTCTTTGATGTAGAAAGGATGTACTTTAACTGAAGGACTATCCACATTTATATTCATATTTGCTTCTCTCCTGTACATATTTATACATTTTATAAGAGATTCATATTGCCTAATGTCTTTTCCATATTTGCTACATGTATGTAACAGTAAATACAGTGTGGATTTACTTATGTCAATTAAGGGATTAATACTGGCTAAAGGCATCCTCACATTTATTGCCTTCACATAGACCCTCTACAGTGTGAAAGCTGATGGACAATAAGGCTTTGTACTATTGCTAAAGACCTTCCCATATTCATTACATTCATAAGACTTTCCTCAAATATAAATTTTCTGATTTTGAATCAAGGAGGACCAGTGGCTGAAGTGTATTATGATGAATATTGCATTCATAGTTTCTCTCTTAACATGATTTTTCATGTGTAGTGATTCATATGGCCTAAAGGCTTTTCCACACTTATTGCACTACTGAGTTTCTCTCCATTATGTATTCTCTGATGGGCAGTAAGATTTGAACCTTTGCTAAAAGCTTTCCCACATTCATTACATTTATATGGCTTTTCTCCAGTATGAATTCTCTGATGTACAGTAAGGTTTGAACTACAACTGAAGGTCTTTCCACATTTAATACATTCATAGGGTTTCTCTCCAGTATGAATTCTGTGATGTTGAAGCAGGGATGACCTATGACTGAAGGCTTTCCCACATATACTGCATTCATAAGGTTTCAATCTAGTGTGATTTCTCAAATGCATATTCAATGATTCAGGTTGGTTGAAAGATTTCCGGCATTTTTGACATTCAAAGGGTTTTTCTTCAGTATGAATACTCTGATGCTGAATAAGAAATGAGAGGCTACTAAAGACTTTCAGACATTTGTTGCATTCGAATTGTTTCTCTATCATGTGAATTCTTTGATGTCGAGTAAGGTGTGAGCTACAGCAAAAGGCTTTTCCACATTCACTACATTCATAAGGTTTCTCGCCAGTATGAATTTTCTGGTGGTGAATGAGAGATGACCTATGAATGAAGGCCTTCGCACATATTCGACACTCATAGAGTTTTTCTTGAGTATGAATTCTCAGATGTTCAATGAGATGTGAAACACGACTAAAAGACTTTCCACAGTGCATACATTCATATGGTTTCTCTCCAGTATGAGTGCTTTGATGATTAGTAAGCGATGAGACATGGCTGAAGGCCTTCCCACATTCAATACATTTGTAAGGTTTCTCTCCACTATGGCTTATCTGATGTCGAGTAAGGGATGAGCCATGGCTAAAAGTCTTCCCACATTCACGACATTCATAGGGTTTCTCTCCTGTATGAATTCTCCAGTGGCGATTAAGGATTGATTGTTTGCCAAAGGCTTTCCCACATTCACTGCATGTATAGATCTTCTCTCTATTATAAGTCTGGTGAAGTGGAAGAGATTTGCTCTGGTTGAAGGCTGCCACACTTCCATTAGAATTCAAAAGTTTCTTCTCACCACTGATATTCTCATTTTTTATAAATGACTTTTTCGGTAAGCTCTTCTTAAATATATCATGTTTATGTGATTTCCCTTCAGCAGAAATTCTCTGTGGTTCAGAAAGAATAGACTTTAAATTTAAATGGGAGATGCTTCTAAATGTATTATATTTGTAAACACTTTCCCCAGTAGAACTTTCTCTAAAAGTGAGAGTCACTGGTCTGAAATGTTCTGTCTGATTTTCATGCTTCCCCTCCAACTTCTCTATATATTCCCAGTCCTTGTTAAAATTTGAAAATTCATGACTTTGTTTTATCATTTTTTCTGCTATTACCGTTTGGGATGAATCTTCATCATAAATATCCTCCTTTGTTGATAATTCCTTGTTTTCCCATCTTGAGTCCCAATCTGAAACATATCAAGAAAGCAAAACACTGCCTTTTCTGTACTTCCTGAAAAGAAATTTCTATGATAGAAATAGAATTGGAAAAAATTAAAGTCCCATCCCCACCCCCCAGAGAACACATGGCTCTGACAACTCTCATATATTCAATGATTTCTGAACACAGTTCAAGTGGAGCACAGAGAATAATATAGACAGCTCACAGAGGCAGGGACAGAATGTAATAACCTGGGTTAAATATAGGCAATCAGTATGTGGAAAAAAATGAAACTATCAGAAAGAAAATGTGGAAGGCATTCTGGAACCCAAACCATTTATTTACGTGAAAGAAGACATTCTCTCTCACAGCCTTGGTTCCCAACGTTCAATCAATTTCAATTTGCTGTCAGATTAGTATGCTTAAAATGCAAAATTTATAGTGCTGCTTTAAAGTTACAATAACAAAATAATCTAAATACACTTTATGGCTCACAAAAATTTAGGCTTTTGTGAGTTTATGTAAGATCTGTGTGAAAGCATATTATTATTTATTGGACATTAGAAAATATTCTTAGAAACCTTCTTATACATTCCTTACTTCCTCTAACACTTATGTTTGTATTTGATCTTTGAAGCTCAACTTTAAGTTGAAAAGTGATTTTCCATCTAATTGACAGCTTTCTTAATCTAAAACCATCAGTATGTTTTTCCTTAAGTGGACTTAAAAAGAGTAATTTGCCTTATATTGTTTCAAATAAAGTAACATTTTGAATTATTATGATGGCAGAAACCTCTACTTTTGATTAGATGACATGACTAAAACAGAAAATAATTTGGGATGGAGGAATGGTCATTTTGACATCTAAGCTAAAGGTTCCTTAATTTTGTTACATTTGGGAATCTCTGAAAACAGTCACCCTTAAATATCCTAAAATGCACCCCCCACTCCTCCTCTCCCCTCCCCCCCCCACTTTCTACAAGTATCTTTAACGAAGACCTGATTTGCTTGATTCCGCATGATTTACCTGGAAACATAGCCTTTGTCAGTTTTTTCTCCACCATCCAAGGTTCTCTCCCATCCTCCAATAAAGTGATCACATATGGCTTAGGTATGGAAAGACCTGCTTACAGGAAAAATATAGAACTCGTTTAAGCTGTGGTCCTCAGAAAGGATAAGCTGTCATCACAAAAGGGACCAAAGGAAGGTTTGAAAGATGTTCACTCAAATGGGAAGATAAGCTTCAGGCAGGGCACAACAGAGCTACATACTTCCTTGGGAACATGGAACAGAAACTCAGCCATTTACTCAGGAGGATTACCATTAATTCAGAGTGGCAAAAGAAAAATATCCTCTACTGAGGTGGAAGGGGAGATATGCTTACCTAGAGAGACTAGATTTTCATAATTCTGGACCATCACATCCTTGTATAAATCCCTCTGAGCAGAATCTAGCCATCCCCACTCTTCATGAGAGAAGTCTATGGCCACGTCACTAAATGTTACCTGAAATAACAAACATATTTAGGCTCAACCATAGCCCAGGCCTCTTCTGTCACTGGACAAGGGATGAAATTACCCTGGTTGTAGAAGAAAGGGAACAAGATTCAGCAGCTGAGACAACAATCAGAAATCTGGTCTAAGTTAAGTAATAATTGGATAATTATGTTTTTGGCATTGTTGTACCATAAGAGTGAGAGACAAATAGTAAGAGCTTTGCTTCAGGAGAGTTAATTTTGTTAGGGAACAGAATTATAAAAATTTTTAAATATCAGCATTCAACATTTGATAGCATATAGTCAAGTGCTTAGTTATGTTTTTTATAGCTACATGCTAGATAAATAATAAAAAAATGAAGATCCACTACGGTTCAAAAAAAAAATCCAAAGGCTTCAGAAAAAGACATTTTTATATTAAAGATAGATACATACATAACTAATCAATAAACAAAAAAGAAAAACATTTATGGTATATGCTTAAACTCTGTATGATAATCTATAATTAAAATAATTTGAGACCCTCTGGCAAGAAAACTGAAGAATGGTTTCATGCCATAGGTAGTCCTTGAATAGGATCTGAAAGTAAGGGTAAAGAATAAAGGCACATTTTTTTTTTTTTAAGATTTTTTTTTTTTATTGGGGAATTGGGGGGATGGGAACAGTGCTGGGGAATTGGGGAAAGGGGAACAGACAAGTTGCTGTCGTTTTGTTCTTCAATCTAGTTGTGGAGGATGTTGCTTCACTGGCCCAAGTTGGCACCATCATTGCGCTCTTCTCTGGCGAGGCAGATCAGTCGCCGGCTTCTGGACGGCCGCTCACTGCGGCTGCTGGCCGCTCACGCTGGCTGCTGGCCACACATGGTAGCCCATGGCAATCCACTGCCACAGGGACTGCAGCCCACGCCGTCGCCGGCGACTCATGGCAGCCCAGCTCCAGGTTGAGCTGTTGTTCAGCATCTTAGCTGTAGAGGGCAGTGTCACTGGCCCTCATATGTGGGATCCGAACTGGGGCCCTCTGGCATCCCAAGCGAGTTCTTAACCATCGCGCCACTCGGCCGGCCCTAAAGGCACATTTTAAGGAAAATATTCTAAGGAAATAGATTTCTTCTCAACAGTACTCATTCTTGGTATTATTTAAAACAGCGAAACTTTAGAAAAAGCTTAAATGTTCAATAATAGCTTACTGGTTAGTCAACTTATAATATGTGCAAACATGTATGCATTTAAAATGGCATTATTACTCTTTCATTGGTTAAAATAGACAGTGTTTGGCTATGGTAAATTTTTCATTCCATGAGTAGTTGATTCAATATCTTATTACTTCATTGGGATATTTTGCATGTACATTCACCAGTGGCATTGGTCTTTAGTTCCACAGCGGGAATTTACCTTTGTCAGGTGTTGGGGAAATAATTTAAAAAATCGTATCTGCCAAGCAGAAAATCCTCTCTACAGTGTAGAAAAGAGACAGGTTTTATTACTGAATCAGCATTAAACCAGACTGTAATGTACTTGATAGGTAATTCCTAATGAGACTCCAAAGACAGAAAGAAATCTCACCCTTCCGTAAAGCCAGGCAGATACAATCCATTAAATATATGCTTTCAAAATAAATGATAACTTGTCCTCCAGTAAGAGGGTTTGACAGCATCATTTGCTACACATAGTTCATCCTAAATTTATCTGGTAATAAGAAAAATAAAACCTCTCTTATCTTTATGATAAGCACATAGTTTGAACTTGGAGCCAGGACCCTAGGCTAAACTCCCACAAAGACAGGTAGTTAAAGGGGCATCTTACTTCATGATTGTATTTCAAAGAGATGGCTCCAAGGCCCTAAGAAGGACTTCATTGCCTTGTAAAATTGGCAGAGACTTATTTCATTTTGAAAAAGATTTATAAGCATCTCAAAAGGGACAGGGAAAAGATTTACAATTACACGTTTTTCTCAAGGAAATACTGTAAAAAAAGGATAAGGGGGAGGTCTTTTTCCCTTTTGGTACCAGGGAAAATTCTGTTTTCCATTTGTATTTACTCTTACCAACACTATGTTAAATGTATAAACCACTAGGTCTTATTCCACCAAGGCAAAGATATTTTATATTTTAAGTTTTGAACACATTCATGTCATTGTATTAAAAGTCTAAAGAAGAAAACTCATTAACACTCTTTGCTCTTTATTTAGATCAGGTTTCTCAACCTTGGCACTACTGACATTTCAGGTTGGATAATTCTTATATTGTGGAGAACTGTCCTGTGCATTGTAGAATGTTTAGTAGCATCTCTGGCCTTTATCCATTAGATGCTAGTAGCATCCCCTCCTCCTTAGGGTTGTGACAACCAAAAGTTTTCTAAATATTACCAAATGTACCCTATGGGTAAAGTCAAGGAGTACAAAATCTCCTGTTCAAGAACCACTGCTTTAGAAAATTTTTGCAGTTCCTTGGAAGACTCTCTTAGGCATCTCTACCTGTACTCAACGTGTTCTCTCAGTTCAGTATAACTTCACTTCCACCTCTGCCTCCCTGGTACTATCGGCCACCAAAACCAGTTCCAGCCTTGCTGCCCCAGGAATGCTTCAACTCTTTCTTCCCCATCATTTGCCTGGGTAGCCTGGGCTGTTCATCCATCTTTGTCCCCAGGAGAGCTTAGCACCTATCATAACTTCTTATGCTTTCTTACTTTTCCACTGGTTCTGCACTGCTCAATACAGTAGCCACTAGCCACGTTTGGCTATATAAATTTAAATTAAAAATTAAATAAAATAAAAAATTCAATGTCTCAGTCACTGTAATCATAGTTCAAGTACTCAACAGTCACATGGGGCAGGTGGCTACCATGCTGGACAGCACACATTTAGAATGTTTCCACTGCTGTAGACAATTCTCTTAGACAGTACTGCACATGAAGTCCTGCATGTCAGTGTAACCCAAACGTATGTAAGACTCTTCCTAATAGGTACTTCATAAGTGTTTAGGAAATGAATCAATAAATGATTTTGGCAATCAATTCACTTGAGCTTTCACTTACCAAAAAAAAACGTTTTCAATTCTAATTATCTAATACTCCCAAGAAACAAGACTTTGCCCGACATGCACATCTGCCACTCACACCTTCTCCTGTGCAAGCTTCACCTTCCACCCCATGATTCTGCCCACCATTTTTTCATCACTCATTCTCTCAACAACTATTTAGTAAGCATTTGTTTTCTGCCAGGTACCACTCTCAGTACTGAAGATAAAACAGTCAACAAAAAAGAAAAACATCTCTCCCAGTGGGAGGAGACAAACAATGAGCATATGTATGTACTAAACACATAGTGTATCAGCTGGTGAGTGATAAGTACTGTGGAAAACAGCAGAACAGTGATGGAGGGGTGGAAGTGACAGTTGAAAGAAGGTGACTGACAATTTTAAATAGGTGTTCAGGGAAGCTTACTGAGTAAATAACCACTGAGCAAAGATATAGAGAAGGTAAGAATGCAAGCTTATGTATATCTGGGGAAAGAATATTTCAAGCAGAAGGGACAGCAACTTCCAACGCCTGGAGGAAGGAGCCAGTGTGGCTGGAGCCTACGGGGAACAAGGAGACAGAGAAGAAAGATGAGATCAGGTAATAGAGAGCCTAACTGTATAAAGTTTTTTAAGTCACTACGGAACTCTGACTTCTAGTCTGAGTTAGGGCAAGTGAAGTTTTAAGCTGAGGAAAGATTTTATATAAAAGGATCAGTGACAGCTGTACTGAGATGAGACTGAAGAGAGTCAAGGGCAGAAGCAGGGAATCCCACTAGGAGGCGACTGCAATCTAGGTTGGCTTGGACAAGGGTGATAAGTGGTGGTGGCAGTGATGGGGTAACCAGCCGTCAGATTCTGTACATTTCCTGTATATATTTTATAACCCACTAGAGTGTCTGAATGTGAGTTATAAGAGAAAGGGAGGAATCAAGGTGATGCCAGACATCTCTAGACTTGAATTAACTGAAAGGATTGATATACCACTGAGACCACACGATACAGCTTTGACAACCATAAAGCAAATAACCTAAATTCCAAACTTGAATTTTGAACTGTGATTTTAAAAAGTTTTGCCCAAGACTCTACAGAGGCTTCTAGCAAAAAACTGGTAGAAAAGATGGAAACAGAGAAGATAATACTTTGGAGTTCTTCGGCAGGCTCCATCCTTTGCTATAAGGAAAGGAATCAGGGATCCAGTCCCTAAACAGACTTTGTTAAGTGGGAAATGGTAGAAGCAGCAAAGCAAACACTCAAGAGTCCTGATAAGAGGGTGTTTCAGGAAGATTTGGGGACATATCAACTTACCTGGAACATGACTTTGCAATTTCCAATCGTGAACACCGTCCTCTTCCCAGGCTCTTGTCTTACAGAAGGGCAGTGTGCTAAGAAGAGAGATCAAGAACAAGAAAAGGCAGTCATGAAAAATCATGCTTATTTTGCAGCTTTGGGCCACCCCTGCATGGAAAAGCACAATGGGAATCACTTTCTCGGGCTCCGATCTTCCCCTGAACTAAGGGAGTGTTCCTTGGGACGATGTAACCATTTACCGGGTGCCACCCGCGTGTAAATAAGCTTTTATATTATACATGAGACCAACTCATGCAACAGCAATCATGTTATATACGCGCTTGTTGAGTCTTCACCACTCTATGCATAGCGGGCATGCACATTACTACAGATTTCCTTTTTAAACGATGAGAAAACGGAAACTTCGCGATACTGAAGCAGTTTGTTCAAGGTTATACAACTACAACAGAAAGCCTCAGCTTCATGACTGGGTAACAACTGTAGACGGCGTTTTCTTTCAGTACTATGTACACCCACTCGCCCCTTTTCTTTTCGCGAAGATGAGGTAAGAGGTAAGCGCCAGCCTGATGTCCATTTTACAAGAGCAGGACAGAGAGGCCCAGAAAGCTATGGCCCTGCCTGGCTCACATGGGGAGGGTAGACCCTGGGATCAGCAGATCTGGCGGCAGGGCCCAGAGCCCAGCACCGTTACCCGGAGGCCCGCCCGCCGCCCTCCCCGGACCCACACTTGCCCGAATCCTCAGTGGGCCCAAGGCCCGAGCGAGGACATCCAGAGCTGGCACCTCCGCGTACCGGACGCGCCCGGTCGCCGTGAGCCAACGATGGCCGCCGCCCTCACGGGAACTGCACTCCAGAGTCCTCCCAGTTCCCAGGGCGGAGAATCCCGCCGCTTGGGCCGAGACTACCGCGGGGTGGACCTAACCGCAGACCAGAGCGGCATTTCTCAGACTCCTCGGTGTCAGGGACGCAAGTTACCGGTGCGGAGCCAGTGGCCTCCTGCAAAACTACATTTCCCAGAAGTCTCCGTGGCAGCGCGTGGTCTCGGCGCACCGCGAGAACTGCTGCCTGGGCTTTCTAAGCAACTACTTAGCCTGGAGCTGGAGCTGAGCATCTCACTAGGACCTAAACGCAACTTGGAGAGGGCATCGTTTGCCTCTGTTGAACCCCGCTGCCCTATAGTTAGTTGTGTTGTAAGACAATGGCATCTGAACCACAGAACTACACTTCTCAGAAAGTTATGCAGGGGAAAGGTTTTCAGGTCATTTGCCTGCTCCCACGTATGTTCTCCTGTCTGGACATGGGCAGTCCTTGCTGGTGGTGGGTAAGAACTGGCCTCTACTAAAAAGGAACCTTCATACACTGTTGGTGGGAATGCAAATTGGTATAGCCGCTGTGGAAAACAGTATAGAGAATAGAATTACCGTATGACCCAGCAATCCCTCTCCTGGGTATCTACCCCAAAAATCTGAAAACATTTATCCATGAAGGTATATGTACTACGATGTTCACTGCAGCATTATTTACGGTGGCCAAGATGTGGAAACAACCAGTGCCCTTGGATAGATGATTGGATAAAGATGTGGTATATATACACAATGGAATACTAGTCTGCCATAAGAAAAGGTGAAATACTGCCATTTGCAACAACATGGAAGACCCTTGAGATTATTATGCTAAGCGAAATAAATCAGACAGAAAAGGTGAGAATCATATGATTTCACTTAAATTTGGGATATAAAACTGAAGGCAACAAAGAAACAAGACAAACAAAAACTCGTAAACACAGGCAACAGTTTAGTGGTTACCAGAAGGTAAGGGGGGAGTGGGGATGGTAGAAGAGGGTCAAAGGGGTCAAATAAATGGTGATGAAAAGAGAAGTGACTGGATGGTGAGCACACAATGTGATATATAGATGATGTATTATAGAATTGTACGCTTGAAACCTATGTAGTTTTGTTGACCATTGTCACCCCAATAAATTTATTTGAAAAAGAATTATATTTGTTTTCACCATCCATGTAATGCACATTTCTTGTCATTATTACTCATGTTTTTAATGGACATTTAAAGGTGTGAAATAAGTACAGTTGACCCTTGAACAACATGGGATTATAGGTGCCAACCCTCCCCACACACATAGTCAAATCTCTGCATATAATTTGACCCCCCAGAAACTTAACTACTAGTAGCCTACTGTTGAACAGCAGACTACACGATAACATAAACAGCCAATTAACACATATTCTGTATGTTATATGTATTATATACTGTATTCTTACAATAAAGTAAGCTAGAGAAAATGAAATATTAAAATCATAGGAAGGGAAAATACATTTACAGTATTTATTTTAGAAATTCACATATAACTGGACCTGCACAGTTCAAACCTGTGTCATTCAAAGGTCAACTGTATTTTAAATATATTTTCATATTGTTTGATGCTGAGATATATAAAGACTTGATTTTTTAAAATATATTTTTTGTATTTGGGCATCATATATTCTACTAAATTTTGATTTAATCCTTTTCATTTAAAAAGAAAGGCATTGCATTATCTAAAAATAAAACTGTTCAATGATTTGCTTTACAGTCTTTTATATTTTCATTTTCATTCTCTTTTGTTTGGGGTAGACTGGAATATTTTTATGGGTTGTTTTTTTTCAGTTTTTTGGAGAGGGCTGCAATGTTTTTGAATATTTGCTGTGATAGTGGTCGTTATAGCTTGCTCCTCATTGAAATGCAACTGAAGCCTCAGCTTCACTATCTTAATATTGAATGGCTCTTACACTTAATAATCCAATTTGGTTATGGTTGATTATTTTGTTAGTATTATACTCTGAAATGGCTCACCCATATTATATCTTGAACACCAGCATTTTCATTCAATTCATTTATAGACTCTGCCTGTAAAATAATTATTTAGTCATTAATGGAACATTTGGCCAGAGCAGAATGCAGAAAGATATTCTAACACAGATAAAACAAAAATGGCATAAGGACAAGATACATATGGATATGGATATTTAAAGAACTGCGATATATGCTGAACTGAAACCATGCATTTGTTAGGTATGTTTTAAACTTAACTGACATTTCATGTTCAATATTTTTTAAAGTTCTTAAGGTAAGGAATGTATTTTATGTACGACATTTCTGAGTGGGGAAGCATGGTTAGTAGTATACAATAGATTTCAATTGCCTTAGTAAAGCACACCACTTACGTTTCTTCCTAGGATTTACTGGTCCTGAATAAACCTATTATCCTTGTGATTGAATGTCATACAGTGCCTTGGCAGTGGGATTATATTTGTTTCTCAGACAGCAGGTGGAACACTAGAGAATGTCTTACTTCTTTGTTACTACATCTTTATTTATTGTATTGGATGGGGTTAAGGCACACACATTATTTTCAAGAACCTGATATTTGCCTACTGTTTGGTTCTTTTCTCTAGAGGGATTCTTGAGACAATGGCAGCTTTTGGAATGAAATATTTCCTGAATATGTATACATACATATTATTTTTTTTATCATCACAGAGTGACCAGGCCCTTGGCACCACTTCTAGCTTGAATGGCTTCCAGGCCATCACAAGGAGCCTCAGCAGCGTTAGTGGAAGGTCTCAGGGTCAAAGCCTACAAGTACATTGGCTTTTCAATTAACCCCCGATGGAACCTTCATATGCTGGTAAATTTTATTGTACCTATGTATATTACAGGCACAGGGAAAGCAAAATCCTCACAGAGAAACAGAATTTGGGATACTGTTCTGGCATAATTATTGACAGAACTCTGTGCTAATTGCATTTAGTGATATTATCCTCCAATGATGTGTTGTTTTGGCTTTGTGGTTTAGGCCAATGGCTCCGTGGTGCTCAACATGATAGTTATAAGGAGGACATCCTACACTTTCACAGCAAAAACCTCTTACCAAAAAAAAATGCTCCACTGGGGTGGCTGTTTAGCTCAGTTGGTTAGAGTGTGGTGCTCATAACACCAAGGTTGCTGGTTCAATCCCCACATGGGCCACTGAGCTGCACCCTCCACAACTAGATTGAAACAACTACTTGACTTGGAGCTGATGGGTCCTGGAAAAACATACTGTTCCCCAATGTAATAAAAAGTGTTAAAAAAATTTTTTTAAATCATTATCCATGAGTTCTGGAGCTGAAGTTGAATAATATTGAATTTCAACTATAATAAACAAACAAACATATACATACACAGAGGGTGCCAAAAAATGTATACACATTTTAAGAAAGGAAAACTATATTAAAATTGTAATACTCAATATATATCAATAACAAAAGATGAATACAAGTCATGTTTGACTTCTGCAACTACAAAAGGTGCTCAAAGTGGTTACCATCAGCGTCCAGACACTTCTGATCACAGCAAACTACTGCTTGAACAACGTTGACCAAAGTGTCCACATGTATATATTTTTTTGGCACCCCCGGTATATATATATTCATATTCACGGGATGTGGTGTACAGCATAGGGAATATAGTCAATGGAATTGTAACAGCTATATTCGATGTCAGAGGGGTAGTAGATTGGGGGGGATTATCACTTTGTGAGGGGTGTAAATGTCTATTACATTGTTTTGTACACCTGAAACTAAAAAAAAAAAGAAAAAAATCCCATTTACAATTGCAACAACAACAAAATAATGTAGTAATTAACAAGAGAGGTGAAGGACCCATACACTGAAAACTACAACACATTGTTGAAAGAAATTTAAGAGGACATAAAGAAGTAGAATCATATTCTGTGTTCATGGAGTGAAAGAATTAACAAACATTGTTAAAATGTCTATATTACCAAAAGAATCTACAGATTCAATGCAACCCCTATCAAAACCCCAATGGAATTTTCACCATAATAGAATTTAAAGTCCTCAGATTTGTATAGAACCACGAAAGACCCCAAAATAGCCAAAGCAATCCTGAGAAAAAAGAACAAAGCTGAAGGTATCACACTTCCTGACTTCAAATTATACTAAAAAGTTATAATAATCAAAACAGTATGGTATTAGCAGAAAAATAGACACACTGACCAATGGAACAAAATTGAGAGCCCAGAAATAAACCCATGTGTATATGGATAACTAATTTTTTACAAAGGAGATAAAAACGTACAATAGAGAAAAGAAAGCCTGTTCAATAAATGGTGCTGGAAAAATTGAAATGCCCCATGCAAAAGAATAGAACTAGACTGCTATTCACCACCATACACAAAAATTTACTCAAAATGGATGAAAGACCTAAACATAAGATCTGAAACAATAAAATGCACAGAAGAGAACATAGGTATTAAACTTATGGATGTTGGTCTTAGAAAGGATTTTATGAAGTTGACTTCAAAGGCAAGGGAAATAAAAGCAAAAATAAATGAATGGGATTACATCAAACTAAAAGCTTCTTCACAGCAAAAGATACCATCAACAAAACAAAAAAATAACCAAGTGGATGGGAGAGGATATTTGCAAACGATACCTTCAATAAGGGGCTAATATCCAAAATATATAAAGATCTCATACAACTCAAGAACAATATAACAAACAATCCAACTTAAAAAATGGGCAGAGGACCTAAACCAGACACCACCCCCCCAAAAAAACATACAAATGGCCAAAAGATATATGAAAAGATGTTCAATTTCACTAGATATAAGGGAAATGCAAATCAAAACCACAATGAGGTACCACCTCACACCTGTTACGACAGCTATTATCAAAAAGACAAGAAATAACAAGTGTTGGAAATAATGTGGAACAAAAGGAACCATCATACACTGCTAGTGGGAGTGTAACTTGGCACAGACACTGTGAAAAACAGTATAAAGTTTCCTCAGAAAAAATAAGAATAAAACTACCATATGACGCAGCAATCCCTCTTCTGGGTATCTACCTGAAAATTTTGAAAACATTTATCTGTAAAGATATATGTACCCCTATGTTAAATGTAACATTATTTACGATAGCCAAGACACAAAAACAACCTAAGTGTCCTTCAATAGATGATTAGATAAAGAAGATGTGGTACATATATACAATGAAATACTGCTCAGCCATAAGAAAGAATGAATTGCTGCCATTTGCAATGACATGGATGGGTCTTGAGAGTATTATGCTAAGTGAAATAAGTCAAACGGAAAAGGACAAGAACCCATGATTTCACTCATATGTGGGATATAAAACAAAAAGTAACAAACAAAAAAGACCTCATGGTTACCAGAGGGGGTGGGGGTGGGGGGAGGATGAAGAGTATAAAGGGGGTCAAATACATGGTGATGGAAGGAAACTATGCTTTGGGTGGTGAGCATATAATAGAGTATACAGATGTTATAAGGTTGTACACATGAAATTTATATAATATT